AGTTATAGGTTCAGACATGTCTTATATTCCTCCACATAAGCGAAATTCGAAGGATCCGAACACACCTTCACCTGTTCCAGATTCTCTTGTTACCAAATTCAAGAAAAACCTAAACCTAAAAATAGTAGCAATGATAAACTCAACCGTATTGTAATTTCAGGAGATTCCATTTGGAAATGGTTTCTTATTGGTGCAAATGGAATTGAGGATGAGATTCCTCCATCTGTTACGCTTGTGCCCTTGTCCTCAGATTCTGTCGAATGCAGAAATGGAGAGAAACCTTCAATACTGATGAACAACAATGTCCAAAAAGGGAAAAAGACTGTGTTTGTTTCTTATCTTAACAAGCATAATCTGGAATTTGGCTATGTTTTTTTTTGACAAAAATTAATAGTATAAGATAGATGCTGAAACAAAGAGACTATTTTGTCACGCCAAAAGATGTCTTTTTTTAGTGTGGTTTTGTATATGTTTATATTCAGTGAATATGAATATTGGAGAGAGTGAAGAAGAAGAAAGAACTCGGTGGCTTTCGTTAGTAGCAGAGAAGAAGGAGACGATCCTTATGCCGTTGGAAAGCTCTCTCTGTCTAGTTTTTGTATTAGGTTTCGGATCCTGATTTGGAGGTAATCTCCGTTCTCTGTGTTCGTTTTATTTCAGGGTGTTGTTTCTGAAATCTCTGTTTTTCCAGTTTCGATTAGCAAGATTGCGGGCTCTTTTTCCGTCGATCTGTTTGGAGTTAGGAGACGTTCTATACACCGTTACGAAGCTCTTGGTGTCTAGTTTCCAGATCAGGTTTCAGACCTTAATTTGGTAAAGGGAGTCGCGAGTTATTCCCTTCTGTTCGGGTCGTATTGGGAGTGCCTTGTTTCCTCGTTTCAATCCGTTTGCAAAGGTGAGTGCGTGACCATAGGCTCTCGGATTAGGATTGTGTGGAATAAGATTGATTGTGGCTTGTTTTTACTGTGTTTGGTGATTGAATTGTGCAGGATCGTGATCTGAGTCCTTGAGATTGAGCCATGAGAGG